GACCAAGGGCAACCGTCGCATGCGTACTTTTCTGAATATTTTGCCCCCCTTTTTAAAGGAGTCTCGGTAGGACCCCTTCCCCTCCACTACTATCGGCCTCGAAAGTTTTCCCTAACACGCACCCCCCTCCCCCAACTCTCCTACCTCCTCCGGCCACCACCCTCGGCATCATGGCTACTTCTATAGTAACTGGAAATGGTAAAAAAAATCGTCGAAAGCGACCCTTTTTCCGCAACCATGGCCCCCTTTAACCGACAAATACACCCCCCCCCCCATTCACACTTTCCAAACCTCGCTAGCCTTACTCAACCATTAATACGACTGCCCTTTTCCCTAAACTACGAATGCGACCCCCCTCGTTCGAATAGTGCGAACCTACGGATGACCCTGCCCCGAACTTGCGTTGTAAGCAGCTCTCTTGCCACTGCACCACTTGGACCAATTTGTGATAGAGCCAACAATTATATAATTAGATTGACTTACATTGTGGTTACCATAGTAATGTATTTGGCGGGAACATGTAGATGGCAGAAATGCTTGATCAGTAAGGCCACTTTGACGACGACCGTTACAGCGTAGATACCAACAAGAATCGCTGAAAAACTAATGTCGATGACAACAATTTGAAAATACCCACAAATCGATGGCTACCTTGAAGGTTCGTCAAAAATGTTGACGTTTCCCCGCATTCATCATCGGAAAAGTGCCAAGACAGGTAGAGCAGAACGGACGAGATGAGATGGATTACCGTTGAGATGAAGTGTGAGATCAGCAACGAATGGTGCTTGCGTCTGAAGTAGCGAAATTTGGATAATTTTTCACACAGGGATGGCTCCCAATGAAGCTTTAGTCATACTCGATAGCTCCCACAAAACCTAACAAAATTATTGACAACAAAGAATTAATTCAGGGTTTAATTTTAGCATTGTAAGCTTTATTCATACTCGATAAACTTGCAGCCAACTTGGGCTCTAACGCTTAGTGGGCGGGGCTGCGACACTTGAGTGGGCGGGTTGAATATTCAAACAAACAGAATAGCTGACTCCTGAAATACGGAATAATGGAATGAAAAGGATTTTCCAAACACAGGGATGCTCCCAATAAAGCTTCATTCATACTCGATAAGCTTGCAGCCCACTTGGACTGCAACGCTTAGTGGGCGGGGCCGCAACATTGATTGGGCGGGGCAACGGCGTTCGGTGGGCGGCTCAGCGAAGCCAAGTGGGCGGAGCTGCGACACACAGTCGTACTCGATACAGATGCTTCACATGGGCGGTCAAACTACGAATTCAAAAATTCATATTTCATTCCCACCTGTGTTGAACGCCACTTACCAAGTGCTTCATACCGCCGGCGCTCCTCAAAAATGGACCTCCCTTTGGAATACCGCTAAATATGCAATATTTGTTTTAGAATCTTCAAGCGCTAAAAGTCAAAATCCAGCTAGAACCTGATTAATGTAGCAAACCTCTTTATATGTAAATGAACGAACTCGAGTTAGAAGGGTCGCTGCTTCATTCATGCAGTCGCTCTGATATCGGCAGCATCGTGTCCCACGCCTTTGCCCTTCCAGTGCTAACGGGAACTACCGTCTATAAGCAACCCTGTTCGAATGGCATTTGTTGGAAATTCGCCAAAAGAAATGGACATGAAATACAACTTGTGCAAATATTAGGATGCTATGCGACAAGACTAGCGCTGAGGCTTATCACAGGATCCGGTTCACAATTTCGGACGCCCAGCCGGTTTCCTGAAAGTGCAGCTTGCTGCTTGCAGGACAGTGCCTGCAGCGGACGATAATGAGCACTTAGGGCTTGATAATAGTTCCCATAGCCCTTTTCTTCTGTGCGGGTCACACTGTGCGCTATCTGGCTGATATAATATGTCACCTACTATTCACTATACACTGCTGGGAGTGTATAGTAAGTGGCAAAAATCAGTGGAAGAAGAGCTCTCCAATTACATTCATTCTGATCAGGAATACGAAGCGGGGGGGGCCTCCATGCTACTGAGTAGGTGGCAGTTGATCTCTCAACTTCATCTGCTCTAATCCTTCACTTCGTCATTCTTCTTTTTGGACGACTGATTAGGACCCACTGAATTAGGAAGGAATGGGAGAAGCCTAGCCTGGGTTTCAACCTTGTGGTTCTAGCGAAGGTGATGCGACCTCTCTTGAGGTCATTCTGGACATCTGGGAGCATTCAAGGTTCGTCGAGCCCACTTGATCTCAAGCCGCTACCGAATCTTCGACCTTGCAGCAATGCGCCTGCTTTTGGTCAAATGATGGAAATCTGAGTGTGAGCGTCTTTTGTGGCAGTTCTGCGACAGTTCTGTTCCTTTGGAGGCAGATAGCACGACAAGTTGAGAGTAAAAGCAGAGCTGTTGACCAAAAAAGTGCGGCAGTGACAAAAATTGAGAGAGTGGCCTAGGAGCTTCTGAAACGGGACCTCTGCTCTTCCCGTTGATTTCCACATTGGAGCGAGTTTCACCGGTGCTGACGTCTTCAGCGTGAACGCTCTGCTCTGCTTCTCTGCTGGAACAGCTAGAGTCAGACGGCAAGAGATCAGCATTGGGGTAGCCAAGTGGTGGGCGTGTACCGCCGCGGAGAGATCTTACCTTCGCAGGTAAGGTTCTGTTGGGCCGCTGCGGATGAACCATCGCAACAAAAGCACCTCGTCCCGCTCTCTAAGCGCCTTTTATACTAACTGACTACTATATTTCCCTTTCTTCGACTTTCAATTCTATCGTACTACCAGCCTTTCGAAAAACTAAAGGGACCGAATAACGATTCAACAACAGTGGCATTCCCAATGTCCATTCTACCAGCATGAATACTGACTATTTCTGAACAATTTGTAAGTGGAGAATAATGTAGATGGCTAGCCCAATTTGTGCCCACCTAATAGAACTTAGAAACGGAACAGGACCATGTAAATAAATGATTTCCTAAAGACTTAGTAAGGCTTACCTTTGAGGGGTCTGCAAAGCTGCTTCCTCGACGTATTCCGGTCATTGTCGTGGGGATGTCGTAGGGGAATGAGTTTTAGCTTAGGTCTGTAATCGGGAATCAGCCAAGCACTTCTTGGAACCTATTTATTTGCTCTGGCTCTATTTGTGTCTGCTCTGAAAGTTCCCATCAATTTCACTGCACATTGGGGGGGGGGGGGGGGAAACTTTTTTTTTTCCCCGCTGTTCCTTATCACCACTAGGTCGTAGACCTGTCTGAGGGGTCGAAAACAGCTGATAGGCTCGCTTCCTGGACGTCATTGTTTGATTCCAGCAGAAACTTCCGTCGGAAAGCAATTCGTAAACTATTCTTGATATTCGTTCTCGAGAACAGACGTTATTTTTCTTTTATTTATGAGACCACATGAAAAATAAGTTCTCAATTTGATGTGTTAGGGATTTATTATATTTTCCTTTCATTTCAGCAAACCATCATAAGTTTTACTTTTACACTCTCACCCCTCATCCAACTACCCTCCGAAACTGCCAAACTCCAGTCGAGCGGGGGAGGGAGAGGGGGAGCGGAAGGGTAGGGAGCAGGGTCAACCGTGACGTTCGCACTTTTCAAAAATTTCGCGACCCCTCTCCTCCACCACCCTTGCCAGAGTGGCTGTTCCTATAGTATTTGATTCTGAGACCAGTCGAAACATCGCAACTCCGCCCAGTTTCACTCCAAAACAGCGAGCGGTGGGGGGGGGTTCTCAATTTTCTCAATTACTAATCCTCTCAACCCCTGAATGCGACCCCCTGCCCAAAATCAACCACAAATGCGACCCCCTCGTTCGAATAGTGCGAACGCACGGTTGACCCTGGTAGGGAGATCTGGGTAAAGTAGCTGAATAGCTCACATTTTTCATCGAAAGTTTCGCCAGATATGCATGAAAAAATAATAAGAACGACCCTCCCAACCCCAACCACTAAGAAGACAACTCTTCAATTCCCACCCACAAACCTCTCTGAGAATCTGAATCTATGGTTTCCCAAGATCCCGAATATGGCTCGTTCGGCCCAGCCACAAACGGGTGGTTGCTTCTTGCATGGTTATCGGTTTTCCAGCATTTGACCGCCCACGGGAAAACCCACCCCTTAACTTCAGGTGTTATACAAGGGCACAAAAAAACTAAAGATGAATTTTCAAGTGAGAATAAGCCGCGCGAGCACAGAATATAGTGAATCTTTATAGCTTTGCCCAGGTAATGGTTGTGCAGGCTTGATGCGGTCCTAAATCGGAAAACATGTTTAGGGATGTAAGCCTCGCTAACTCGCTATGTGCTTTCCTGTTCGTGCTTCGCTGCCTTCAAAGATTTTGCGGTCACTTTTTCAGAAGTGCTGAGAATATCGATTGAATTTCTCCTGGGAAGCCTCGCATCATTTCTAACACTCTTGTTTGTTCGGACCAATATGACACCGGGCAATGCGATATGGTCTACAAATCTCATTATCAAGTTCTACCCAGATTACTACCTTTTCTTTGATCTTTTCCTGTAAGACACAAACGCTCTGCAATAGTTTATTGACTTCCTGATTGACAAAAGCGTGGGCGTGTTTTGTCGTATATTTCGAAGAAACGGTGAAAATGGAGTTTGGGGGGGGGCACTCTTCGTCATCCTACCCTTAAAGCTAGCGACCACTCCTTCTAGTCTCTGTCACAGACAAGAAAACATGGGAGTGACTCATTTGAAGCTTACTTTTGATAAGGATCGGTGAATACTCATCCTGACCACAAATACCCAGTTGTCGCACCTTCCACCCTGGAGCCCCCGCCTTCAGGCCTAGGCATGGATGCCCATACCCCTTGTTCAAGACTGTTTCCTAGGACCATTGGAGGCAGGGTCAACCCTACGTTGGGACAAGTACCAACGGGGGGTCGTAGTTTGTTGAATTTGTGGTTTGTGGGGGGGGGGTCGTACTTGTTTCGGTAGCACGAAATTACATGTGATGAGGTGAGAGCGCGCGGGAGAAAATTTGCCGTTTCAGCGTGCGTATATATCCCTAGAAAATGAGCAGTGGAAATAAGGTAGGGTTGACCCTTCCTGGAGTTGAGGTGTCCCTTTTCTGAAAGATCTATTCAGGAGGGATCTGGGGAAAGGTACAAAAGTCCGAGATCCCGCTCCTCCATAAAACCCTGGAACGACAGTGTTTAGTTTGGTCACTGATCAATACCTCTTCTAAGCCCATTCTACCTTCCTTC